TTTCCGAACTGTCCCGAACTTACCCGATGACTTGAAATATCGATCGTAGTCGAACCCGCGAACGGCTGACACGGTTGTGACGCTGTGACGCTACGAACATCGAAACAAAACAATGTACTTACAGCCTTACTACTGACATTTAAAATACGACTTTATGTGAAGGCTTTTCACCATATTTTGAGTTAAAATTTAAAGATGGTTGGCTGTTTTCTAGTCAAATTGATTTGTTGAGCTGAGACTTGTGCCTACTGACCCACATTGTCCCCCAATGCGTAATACGTATGCATGCACTTATTGTTTTACATAGTGTTTTAGATAATTATTGAACGTGTGAGTTAAAATATTGCTATCTAATGCAACGATGTTACGCTTACGTCTGCTTGCTTCAATACATACGTACTTTGTTGATACATAAGTTTATATTTGGCATGCCGCCAAGTTAGGATGGTATTTCTTGCGTATGTATTTTCCTTCGCCCACTAATTGGATTCTTCTATTTCTTAAGCCACGAGCGTTAGTGCTGTGTTTCAGTAACTCCACTCTTAATATTCTTTCTTAAAGACATTAAATCTTTCAATCACTACTTTTGAGTTTTAGCATCTCTCGCTGCTATGACTCATTATTGTCTTGTTCGTGTGTTCAAGCTATTGGCGTTTTAATCGGTTCAAGATCGCACGATATTATACTCATTATGAAACATACTTTCCCCGGCGAGGGTACAATAATTAATTAGAAATGTACATTTAAATATTTTTTGATAGTTTCATTGCTATTTTTATGATAGGTGTAATGATCAAGTTTGTAATAGATTAAATATTGTTTCAGTTAACTGACAATCCTGGTGGTAGGACCTCTTGTGAGTTTACTGGTGGTAGGACCTCTTGTGAGTTACTGGTGGTAGGACCTCTTGTGAGTCCGCACGGGTAGGTACCACCGCCCCGCCTATTTCTGCCGTGAAGCAGTAATGCGTTTCGGTTTGAAGGGTGGGGCAGCCGTTGTGACTATACTGAGAACTTAGAACTGTATCTCAAGGTGTGTGGCGCATTTACGCTGTAGATGTCTATGGGCTCCAGTGACCACTTAACACCAGGTGGGCTGTGAGCTCGTCCACACATCTAAGCAATAAAAAAATAAATAAAAAATCCTCTCGACCCACATAATGACAGTCGGTTACCACTTTACCGAAACCCATTGACAGTAGAAAGCAAATGTATACAATATATTATGTCGCAGTCTCAATTATATTGTACAAAGACGGTATAACGTTCAAACCGTAACACTTAACTGCTTTGCAGCTGAAATAAATATGATGGTGGAAAATACGCGTGCGAGCTCAAACTCGATAATTTTTGGCATTTCTATTACACGATATTATGGTGTTAGTGATACATAGCATATATTACATCTTGAAAATATGAGTGCTTATGTGTAGTCGTGAACTGATCCGATCGCAGATGATGTGGTGGTAAAAAAGAAGATGACGGTATTAATATTTCATACGATGCCCCAGAGCCACTATATTATCTGCCATGCACGGAGTTCTGTTCCAATTTGCAAATAGGTAAAAATAATCTGAATTTTACATTATTTTGGAACGAAGTTTTGGAACGAAGTTCCTTATGGGACGATGCGGAGGGGTACCCTAACTGGGAAAAAACGTCCGTAACGTAAGATTTTTATTAGTAATGCACACAGTGTACGACTTAACTTTGTAATAACGTACAAAAAATAACATATTTTTATTATATATTTTTTATAAATCATTGTAAATAAAATAAAGTTTATAACTTTGTAAAGCAGTTTTTTTTTTATAAAAAAATCATACCTGACATATACCTGAATAATTATTTTCTTTATACCTCAAATAGAACTTAAAATTAATATTTTTATAATAAGAAACTTCGTTCCTATCCGGTGTCCTACGACACCAAACATCTTTTTTTCATCTCCTTAATGAATTTGCTCTTATAGTACGATAAAACGCATTTATGCGATTTTAACACAAGAACTGAATAGCTGACAGAGAAAATAATCTTATTTAAATAGAAATCCAAATCAAATACATCATTTTTTATCCTCGTGAATTTGATCATGATTTTAGTTTAAAGTAATGAAATTACTGTATTGTGATCGATCCTTGATACGTGTACAAATTTCAAGTTCAAGTTCAATAATGAATTTATTAAATCTTGAATTCGGTGAAAGTTAGAATACATACGTTGAGACTTTTTTTATTGTCCTTTTAGGCAGACGAGCATACGGTCCACCTAATGGTGAGTGGCTACCGTCACTGATGGATGTCAACACGTCCGCGGACGTCGCTGCCTACCGATACCGTCACATAGATATATAGACGCAGGTCAAGCTAATAAAGCGTGTTAATAACTTGCAAAAATTGTTATATTTATATCTGGATCATATGGAATGTTAGATATCTGCACGAGTAGATGCTACTATTGCACATGCTCCTAAAAGGAATTAATCGTCTTGTCCTTTTGACAGTAGACCTACCAATACAATCTTTTTTCTATTGCCCTTGTAGGCTGATAAGCATACGGCCTACCTGATGGTGAGAGTGGTTAACGTCCCCCATGGACTTCAGCAATGCCAGGGGCAGAATACTCTCCACAATCTTTCGACGTGTTGGTATTACTGCTTAGTCGTACCATTTACTGCTGCTGCTCTTGCTGTTTTTCAGCTGTTCATGATTTTTATTTATGTCTTGTGTCTATAAACTCATGTAGACAACTAGCACTAAATATGTACAAATTAAACAGTTAAAAGTAAGGTATGTTCCGACCGTCGAGAAAGTTCGATTGAAACAACATCGAATTGCAAACGTAGGTAAAATTGCAATATTTATCCTAAATTGACACAATAGCTTACTTCGCGATTTTTTTAAATAAAATTAACACCTACTTAAAACTACATACTCCATTCCATTGCGACGCACAAGGAACGCATTCATGCAGCAGTTGGACAATACCTTCAGATAAGCTGGTCTAGTTAATTGATATTTCAAAGAGAATGATAAATTCCGAGAGCGGTGCGATGGTGCTCAATATTTCCATAGAGCACAAGGACATCGCCGATAGTATACAATGGCCGCCTCAACGTTTATAGCGTGACTTTTGTTTTTTTTTTTTTTAGAATTAAATAGCCTAGTCACACTGCTCATGACCCAGTCCATGATAGGCATTTACCAAAGTCCATGACAACGTGAATGGCACGGTCTACCTTGAAATTTAAGGTCTAAGCCTCATTTTTGTTTTTTTGTTGTTGTTTTGTTTTGATACCACCGTCTGCAGACGTCAACATTGTCTGACACATAACCATGCCTCCACTGCGCAATATTCTTCACAAACCTCATTTGAAGGTTGCCATCTCTCATCAAGTCTGCCATAGCACTCATTAAAGGCAGAACAATCGGAATAAACACGACCTCATATTGTCACAAAACATTCGTTACTCTAGGAAAAAAACATATTTTCGCTGCCCTTATTTGACGGGTTAAATCGACCATGCCAGGGTAAATTTTCAGAGATATAACGTTTTTCGTTTTTTTTTCCTTTCTAATTTTGATTTTTTATTTTTTTTATTGTTTTCGATTTTTTTATTTATATAGGTATATTGACGAGCTCACAGCCCACCTGGTGTTAAGTGGTTCCTGGAGCCCATAGATATCTACAACATAAACGCGCCACCCACCTTGAGTTATAAGTTCTAAGATCTCAGTAAAGTTACAACGGCTGCCCCGCCCCACCTTTCAAACCTAAACGCATTACTGCTTCACGGCAGAAATTGGCGGGATGGTGGAACCTACCCTGCGGACTCACAAGAGGTCCTACCACCAGTAATTACGCAAATTATAATTTTGCAGGTTTGATTTTTATTACACGATGTCATTCCTTCACCGTGGAAGACAATCGTAAACATTTGTCAAGTACGTATTTCTTCATTAGAAAAATTGGTACCCGCCTGCGGGATTCGAACACCGGCGCATCGCTACATACGTATGTAACGGACGTCTTATCCTTTAAGTCACGACGACTTAAAATTAATGCGATTTAGTTCCTAATTTAGTTCTTAATTTGGAAGGCAAAGCCAAGTTGGCGTCCAAAATCTTCGGATTCCTCAACAGAGCAAAGTGGTACTTCACGCCTGGACAAAGACTTTTGCTTTATAAAACACAAGTCCGGCATCCCATTTCTGGGCCGGGGCTCCCAAATACCAGCTTCTTCCATTTGACTCCACACAGAAGAGAGCCGTTCGGATTGTCGAGACTCCCTTTCTCACAGATCGTTTGGAACCTCTGGGTCTACGGAGGGACTTCGTTTCCCTCTCTATTTTGTACCGTATGCTCCATCTGCGGAATTGTTTGAAATAATACCTTCATCTCGTTTTTACCATCGCACCGCCCGCCTCCGGAGTAGAGTTCATCCATACTACCTGCAGCCACTGCGTTCATCCACAGTGCGTTTTCTGCGATATTTTTTGCCACGTACCATCCGGCTTTGGAATGAGCTCCCCTCCACGGTGTTTCCCGAGCGCTATGACATACCCTTCTTCAAACGAGGCTTGTAAAAAGTACTTAACGGTAGGCAGCGGCTTGGCTCTGCAATTGGCATTCCTGAAGTCCATGGACGACGGTAACCACTCACCACCGGGTGGGCCGCATTCTCGTCTGCCTACAAGAGCAATAAAAAAAATTATAATAATCCAAAGTCCTAAATGAAATGCGCTTTGTAAGAAACAACATAAAACTACTCGCAGTATTTCTAAATTAGGACCATGACCAATATAAAGCGGATTGTGCGTCCACACGAGTATGTCTTGCCTATTCCTGCCGCGAAAGACATACGTTTCGGTTAATAGGAAGTAGCCATTTGATCCGAACCATTGGAGCCGTTACTAGAGTCTAATCAAGACTAAATCCATATTAATATCTCAAGGTGAGTGGGAGAGAGGAAGCTTGTCTAATGTTAAAAAAATCGGTATCATTTTAATTAAAATGTCTTTTAATAGTGTGGTATACTTTTATAACATTATCTTATTTGATTAGATCATACAAAATCCTGTTTCAAAACTAGAATTACAATTTTAAAAAAAATACCTGCGATTACAAATGTAAAAAGATTCCAAGCATTCAGCCAATCGCAGCAGCCTTCGCTAGCCATAACTTGACTCCAGTTTAAGTACAGCATTTGTTTGCTTAAACGTAAATTCACACAAGAAACACAGAACTATTCATATAACAATATTCAATCCTTCAACAAATTTCAAGTATTTTTCATGTCTTTCTGCAAATTTATCTGAATCACCGTTTCTTTCTGCAATGAACTTTCTTTCATGCGAGATGAGCACTTTAAATATAGCACTAGAATAAACACGATTACAATCATATCTTACTATCTTCACTTGCTTTTGCCTTAAATCATTAGAATTACATTTCTTACAATTGTCTTTGACTAGAGCCCCATTCTGCTTCTTCAATCCGAAATATTCATACATGGAAATGATCAACTCATGAACGATGTACCGTCTATGGTACCATAGTGACTCATGCCACTTATAGAACTGTATCAATTCACTATTTAAAACTAATTCATGGAAAAGTACTTCAAATTTTCTACATAGATAAACATTATTATGTTTACAGTTACAATTTCTAGTATTTGAAAGGAGCAAATTTATTAACTTTTCGTCAGAGTACTCCATTAAATTTTCATCTGTGTTCAGTAAAGTCATATCATTCTGTAAAGCTTTTAACAGAACATTAACAAAACATTTACGTAAGTCAATTTCAATGCTGTTTTGAAACATTTTCCAGAATACATCATTCAAATGTAAGATAACATTTTTTATGCAATATTGTCTATAGTGAAAACAACTAAAATCTGAAACATGTTTTGATGTCCATCTTTCCGAGAAATTATATTCTTTGATGTATAAGAGGTCCAAGCTAAAATTTGTAATTTTCTTTAATGTATTAAGCAACCACATACGATGGTTCCAACTGTGATAATTATTAGGACTCTTATCTGAGGCAATTTGACAGAGATGAAGCTCCTCGTTAACAAGATTCTGGACATAGTTTGATTGGAGGTTTTCATCTGAAAATGAAAGCAATTCTTTAGTGTAGTTAGAAATAACACTTGTATTTTATTTAATATATTAAATTCAATGTGTCATAATTGTTTCTTTTATCTCTTTTCTAATTAAATTTATTTATTACAATAAACAACTTTATATTTTTATTTTATATCCATTTTGCCTATTTTCTTATAATGTATAATATTTATGTTTCAGCTATTTTATTGCTATAATGGAAGATGAAAAATATCCAATTAAGCTAGAGTAAATCAATAAATATTATTGGAGTCAAGTATGATCTCAGAATGAACAAAAACAGGCTGAGATAACAATTAATTAAGCAATTCATAATTTCTTGTGTTTATGCCACGGACAGACAATGTACTGCCTAGTGTCCACTGTATCTTTTGTAATCTAATTTATAACTACGAGCTTTAATGTTCTGAAACATTTGTGTTTTAGGAAATTTAATAATTCAGTATCTACTAATTCATTTATTCACTATACCTTGTAATATAGCCTCGAGTAGCCATCGTCTATACCCAAACGCCTCATTACATTTGGGTTTCCTTGACAATACTAATCTAGTCAATTTCAACTCTGAACTTTTTTCTAATAAATTTCTGAGTACCATATCACGCCTTTTGTTCCATAATGTATTAAGTTCTGGGTTCAGTAAAAGTGTTACACTCAATAATCGACCTAGTTTTTCCGAATGTATAGAGCCGAGTGTGCTGTTTCGACGTTTAGTTTTGCAGAAATATTTATCCATTAATTCTGAGTAGCAATACATGTACACATGTTTAACACACCACGACTCCAGCCCTAAGCAATTTTCTAAATGAAGAACCGGAGTTTTATTGCGAAAATTACTATCCACTGGAACTATGTCGAAAGCGTACCTGAAAATATTTTACGTTTTAATATATTTAAATAAATTCCGATTATCTTTGAATTTGTGCCAAATATATTTACAACTCAGCGTTTTTCGACAAAACATTTTCAATATCTTTTATTATTTTTTCAACCAGCGCGAATTTATCCTCTTCCATTATTAATGCACACAATAACACGTAATTGAATTAATTGAATATGAATAAATACATAGGCAGGTATTGAAATATACAAATTGTTTTTTATTAGTTCATTGAAAGTTTAAACTGAAAACATCACATATGGGTATTATCTCTCGAATATATTAAGTGTATAATCTATGGGTATTATCTGTGCATGACGATCACAGCACAGACCTATCAGAAATTCGAAAACATTGTCAGTGAGAAGAGAAGGCTTACTGAATTTGGCCCCTCTTTTTTCATTTTTAGATTTTTTTATTTTTATTTTTTGATGTATAAAAGAAATAATTAGACAGTGTAGACGTACTTGTTAACATAGCGCTAGTAAATACGGCCATTGCCAGCTTTATTAGATATAAAATAATTAACAGTTGGGAATTTAATTAATTTTATGATCGAACAATCACCAATAATCATCGAACAAACGATAATAGATCAAAATTAATTAATCTGAGCGATAAAAATAAAAATATTTAATAAGAGCGGCCAACTTAAGGGTGATCATTTGTTTAATTAAAAATAAATAAATAAAACGAACAAACAATTTTTATATTCGAACATTAACGAACAAATGACAAACAAATAATTAAAAAAAAGGAAAATCCAAAAAAAGGGGGTTAAATTCAGTGAGCCCAGTGAGAAGTAGTGAGAATTAGAGACAATAAAACACAGATTACTGTCGTAATGGTAAAATGCTATTTAGTAAAAGAAACACAAAATACCAAAATACTAGTAAAAATAATTACAAATTACGCTTGGTCAGTATTATATTGTGCACTATAATACTGACACTACTTGGCGGATTCAAGTTGGAGGGTGGTCGCCAGCCAGTCGGACTAGGGCCTACCACCGGTTATGCTTTCGCCTTATTCGGCTTATATCTGGTTATGTTTTCGGCTCCCGTTTAGCACCATCCAGGGCTCCCTTGTAAGCTATTGCGGGTTAAGCCTACGAAAGCGGGAATCATCAACCCCCTCGAAAAACCTAAAAGTATTTAATCTTTGATGATATTTTTGATGGGAGCATTAATAATGATACTATATTGTTATATTTTAATTTAACTGAACTTTTCATAATAAACTGAAAGCTATAGAACATAGTTTTACTCTCCATCCATACATTTTTAGTAATTTGAAATAGTATGTAACACTAGCTTACAATTCTTCAGTATGGCCACCTTCCAAACCAAGGCAAACAAGCAGGTAAGACCATTATTTTTTCCACTCTGGACATACTACTAACACTAACTTGCACTTCGATTCATAGATAGTATCTTCACGATATAATAATCAAATCTTTAATAAAATCGAAAGAATGTAGGTACCTAGTTATAGTTAAATTAAAATTGATATTAGTTTACTTGACCTAAAAGTCTTAGTTACTTAGGTCATAAAATCCCAAAAAAAAATGAAATTAGTTTACACTTTACATATTGAACTTTTTTCTGCTCCGTTTTAATATTATCAGAATATTGAATATTTAAAGAATAGCAGGATATGTTTTATAAATTTGGAAATCATTTTTATTAAAAAAATTAACATAATATGGTGAGTACTTAAGTGCATACTTTCATCTACTAATACCATCAATAAAAAACATACCAAATTAATTTAATGTCTGTTTATTTCAGAGTGCTATATTTAATTTTCAAAGCCTTTTATCCGTATTACTATTGTTGATATGCACCTGCGCTTATCTAAGATCATTTTTTCCAAGTATCATGGACCGGAATAAAACTGGGTAAGTTGCATGTGAGTAACTTATTAATGCTATTGCAATAATTTTCTTTTTTTTATTGCTTAGTTGGGTGGACGAGCTCACAGCCCACCTGGTGTTGTGTTTACTGGAGCCCATAGACATCTACAACGTAAATGCGCCAACCACCTTGAGATATAAGTTCTAAGGTATAGTTACAACGGTCAAGTATAGTTATAACGGCTGCCCCACCCTTCAAACCCGGTACCCACCCGCGCGGACTCACAAGAGGTCCTACCACCAGTAATTACACAAATTATAAATTTACGGGTTTGTTTTTTATTACACAATGTTATTTCTTCACTGTGGAAGTCAATCGTGAACAATTGTTGAGTACGTATTTCATTAGGAAAATTGGTACTCGCCTGATATTCGATCACCGGTGCATCGCTCAACACGAACGGCACAACGGCTTCAATATACACAGTTAATTTGTACAGCAAATATTAAAAATAAAACAGAAAACAAATTGTTCATTGTGGCTGTTCTGTCTCAACATTAATCAGTTTGAAAAACAAACCATAAATAAATCAGTTTCAATGCAACAATTTTAACTTGTTTTAATAATTTTTCAGTTTACTGGGAACATTTTGGAAATGTGCAAGAATTGGTGAACGCAAATCCCCCTATGTTGCAGTTTGTTGTATATTAATGGCCTTTTCAATATTGTTCCTCACATAAAATTATTACAAAACGTGGTCTTAAATGTTAATGATTTATTAAACCATTTTAAAACTTATTTCTTGTTCAATTTTCTAAGATAATAAATTGATGGATTATGAAGAAGCAGCACCAAAAAACATAGTGAACCGTTTCCCACAATAGAGGATTCTTTAAGCCTTGTTTGTAAAAGGATCAAAATTAAAGTTAGTTCCTTCCAGTGCTGAGTTGTGTAGTCAAATTATGCCTCGAAACACTGAGATGAACTGGTTCTCGGAAATGTGCTTTTTGCATTGATGGGTGAATGAACTTATGGACCACCTGGTGTGCAGAGCTTAATGGAGACCTTAATCATTTGAATGTGAATGTTGCATTCGACCTTCAAAAGTCTTCATATTATATTAAAACAGCTAGGCCACTGTTAAAACTGAAATGCATCTTTGGCAATAATGCAACTGAATCTTGGCCCAGGGCCCAAAGAGGTTCTGGCCAAAAACAAGAGGTTCTATTGCCTCAGTATAACCCTCCTCTTTAAAAAAATAAATGTATAACTGAGCCTGTTGACTAGCAAATACAGTATATATGTGACAGGAGTCTTTATGATAGTAAAACCGCACTATAAAGAGCACAGTTGGAGGCAGCATCGAACAGGCGGTCCACCTCGCAGCGGACCTTTCTTCATGGAAAGACATACGTGTGGTCAGGATCTTCAGTGGAAACGCCGAAAAAGACGACTAGAAAACAATTAAGAACTACATGCAATGCAGTGCAATCACTGGCCACGAGGCATATAATAAACATCTGTTCATAAAACTTATTATAATTGCTCATGCAGTGCCTGTACGAAGACAGACGATACAGCTGCTCACATGCTCTTTTTAGTACTCGAGAGTGGCCACATCTTGGGTCACCAAGATCGCTTCCTGAGGCGGCTTATTGAGGAGCTGGATTGGTACTCATACAATCCTCCCACCCACACCCACACAAAATGGGCGTATTTGCAGATTTCAATATATTTTTTTATTGCCTTTGTAGGCAGACGAGCATACGGCCCACCTGATGGTAAGTGGTCACCGTCGCCCATGGACGTCAGCAATGCCAAGCCGCTGCCTACCATTTGCAGAGAATTGGCTTTTATTGTTATCCTACCCTTCGAAACAGAACACAACAGAAATAAATAGGATGGTAGGACTTGCCCATGCGTGCTACAGTACTCCCATACTAGTCCTTACGAAGGTGTTCATAAATGTGGCGGATATCATCTTCATTAATCATATGTTTCTCCTTCATTATGGAAGTTTATGTTAACACTAGTGGATATTCCAGGCTAATAATATAGTCTCAAAAACGGCCCCCCTCAAGATAACAAATTACTTTATTAAATTACTATATTAAACTGACTAACTGATATTAACTATACTGAGACCTTAGAACTTATATCTCAAGGTGGGTGGAGGTATTTACTTTGTAGATGTCTATGGGCTCCGGCAACCACTTAATAGCAGGCTGGCTGTGGGCTCGTCCACCCAACAAAACAATAAAAAAAAATTGAATTTTTGTCTTGATTACAATTAAACCATGAAATATATTGTATCCATTTATTTTGAAGACTATTTTTATAAAAAATATAAGGAAACAGAATACACTGACATAAATATTTGTAAAAATAATCTTAATATTAGCATAGTTCAATTTTCAAAGAAAACAATATAGGATTATCAAGGAGCCGCGACCATCCGAGACTAATTAATAGGCTCAAATATAATGATATAAAAGTATGCGGTCAAAAGTAAAGTACCATTAAAACCTCTTTTCATGAATACAGTTTATTTTGACTACAATATCGAACATTGTTAGCTAATCTTAGAACTGTAAGAATCAAATGAAAAAATTAAAATAATTTTGTAAGATTATAAAAATATGGTATAGGTATGATGCACTAATAACTGTCAATTTTTATTATCATTATTGCAAAAGGATGTAGATTATACACAAGATTATACATTTCCTTTATAAAACTAAGAACAGAATTTTGCGGTTTCTAGTTTATTCTATATCCCATGTTCAAATTTGGAAATAACAGATAAAGTTTAATAACGATAGCAAACACCGTAACAAATCTATTTTTCTTTTGAAATTTCCTGCCACCCTCATTAACATAATCAGAAATCAACAAAAACATAACTATGTCACACACATTAAAAAAAAAAAACAAGGAACAAAAAGTATTATAGTAACGCAGACTGTAGACATTCATCAAAATAGAGATTATTTATAAACGAATATTTACGTAATTCAATTACAATAAGTATTATATTATTGTATACAATGTGAATCACAGTCAACTGAGAAATCAATAATATCAAACTCATTGACAAATTTAGCTATAGTTTAGCTTTTATAATATATTCCGGAAAAGGTGTTATTCTTTATTTATAGGGTTGATGAATTTGCAGTTTCTTTACGTATTTATAAAAAGCATAAATTTTACCAAAAACATATATTTAAATAAGTTTATAATATTATTTAGATATTAATCTTTCAATATAGCATAATACCGTTTCCGGAACACCTGGCATAATAACGGATAATGTATAATACTACAAAACAATAAATATAACTGCTTGAAATGTATATACTCACATTCTTTTAATAAAATAAATGCAAAATAAATATTCCTTAAGATTAGATTATAATCATACAAAAAAAAATCACATATTATAGTACTAATCAATTATTTAGTCTTCCGAGAATTTTGAATATCAGTTCGTATTTTTAAACCCAACTAAAAAAACAAACGTGTGGCACTCGGGAACTGCCGCGGTAAAGCTATTGCATAGCATTTTTTATCAACTTATGCAATTATAATTAGAAAATGATAATTTAATATTAAAACAATAATAAAACAAGACCACGCTACATTAAACATTAATAAAAGCAAAACCTTAACTGTCCACTTCACACACATAAGCCAGACCGCGCGAGAGAGAGATGGGCAGACTTTTCATGATGCGCATGCAGTGTGACGTCACGCCACGCGCTTATTCACAAACACTACACAAGCGCAACGTGTGAGTGGAGTGGGGGGTGTAAGGTTTTTTTCGTTACGGAATTTCATGATTCGATCGCCGCGGTCAAGGCACGCGATAAAATCTATGCAATAGCTAAAAAAAAATTGTCACTATTTTGCTGAAAAATCTATTGACCATTATATCGTATCCTAACTTCTTACCGGATCTTTGTTCAGTCTAATTTTGTTCTATATAAAACTAAGTAATACCTATGTACGGCGACGATTCACCGAATCTATACCTACAGCTTATTACTACGTAGGTATTTCAGATAGTTTTGAAAGTTTCGATGTACTTAAAGACGAAGAAAAAACAGTAGATATCTAAATATAAAATATTGTAACAAAAAAATCTGAATGCTTGTTTCTCTCATTACCCTATAATATTAATTTAATAATAGAGTAGTAGAGAGTAATTAATATGGAAGTATCTATTTCACTAGTTTAAGGAAAAAGGATACCTATAAAATAGTATATAAATATTTGCGGTTTCGTGCCTCACTGTCGATCGATTATGTCATCGTTGTGTAATTTACAAATTGTATACTTTGACAAAAACAAAACGGATCTTATTATACCCAATCAACTATAACTGTTACAAACACACTTACAATCCTAATTTGCTACTAGAATATACATATTTTAGCCGAACTATCACTACACATGTAAAAAGGCAATTAATCAGCCTGCTTTATTACATTACAAATACTACCGTTTATCAGTACGAAGCGGCGGCACACAAATACAATGATTGTGTGTACAGTAATACCACAAGTTATGGCTATTATCACTATATTTTCATTACTAAAATTCAAAATCTATAAAAAAATCATCGAACTAGTCCACTTTGTATGAGTAAAGAAAAGAGACTACCGATGGTCGTTGTGAATAATTCAGAATGCAACCATTAAATTAAATATTCAGGTTTTTTTTTTAATTACGCTTTTATGGTCTATGCAAAGCAAAGTATTACTGTATTCATTTCGTCACGTTATACTGTGATTTGAAAAGCACAGTGCATTAGTAAGTACAGATTATAATATGGCACTAGACATGTTTTTAAATACATTTTTGAGCAAGATTATGGAAGATTAAAATTTTAAAATTTATTTTTAAACAAAATTTAGGTACTAAACAAGGGAAGATCATATTCTCAATGAATGGTATTCAAACTACTCACGTTTAATAAGCAAGGAAAACTAGTCATTTTGACCTTAGAAATGCTAAACAAGATTCTATGTTGATGCCTTAAGGGGCAACTACGTGATGCGAAACGCAAACCCTAAACATTTGTTGAGCTGATTGCTAAAGTATCAGCACACTTTTACAATAATAATAGATGAGCTTTTTCTGAGTTTAATTACATTCTGACAATAAATCTTCAATCAATTCAATCATAGCAGAAAATGAATAGAGCGCAATCTTGTAGAAACAAAATATGTGTGCAATGTTTAAATATATAGTGCCTATTCACATTTATTTATTCAAATCAAACTACAAATGTTTATCAACACACTTTCTTTTATACAGGAAAAAATTAAATCATCTTGTATTGCACCTTAATTGCATGCATGTATATATTTTCGTTTTTTACTTTTTTATCATCACAATACGGATTTTTGTTCATTCATTCATATAATTTTTCAAAAGTCTTACACAAAATCTACATACTTATTATTTTCAAATATAAAAGTACAAATCGATTAGAATGCCTAATTATAAAAGGTTAATATTCTATGGTCAAGTTCTAAGTTTTTTTTTTTAAAGCATTTTCTATTTATACACATTTGGTAACGTTTTCTAAGTCTTTATTGAAATACGAAATTTCAATGAGGATTATTTCTCTTGCAAACGAGTCTTCTGAATGTTAATAAATTTTCTGGGATTCGTAATTTATAAATAAAGATTGCTAAAATCGAAAACAAGCCTAAAAATAAATTATATTCTAAAGTAAGAGAGCATTTCGATTACCAATACAACCTAACATTATACTATTGACATACTGATTACAAATACATTTAAAATATTTAAATAAAACGTAAGATATAGTAATTCCATAACAAGATTCCCGATTTAACATCTGGAAACTTTGAAAAAGAAATCTTTTGGCACCGAAAGCTTGAAATACAATTTTAGAATACGTAGGTAGTTATAAAAAAGTTAAATAAAGCTAAAATGACTAAGATACGCATCTAAAACTGTACGGAAGTCTTTATTGCTAAGCCTGTATCTATTTCCTACAGTTAATAATATCCGAGGTCTCGCAGCTTTACCCTGAAAATTTTTTTAGTGATTTTTGAAAAAGGTTTTGGAACGAAGTTCCTTATGGGACGATGCGGAGGGGGAACCCTAACCGGGAGAACACGTCCGTAACGTAAGATTTTTGTTAGTAATGCACACAGTGTACGACTTAACTTTGTAATAACGTACAAATTAGTAATGCACACAGTGTACGACTTAACTTTGTAATAACGTACAAAAAATTACATATTTTTTTATCATTCATTGACCACGATCTCAGAGCGTTCGTTTGCGCAATACACTAACTCTTATGCAAACAACCGTGAATGAAGTGTACCACAATAAGTTCGCACGTTACCGAATGACCGTGGGTTGTTGCGAAACCTCCAGTTTTATTTTCTTTATACCTCGAATAGAACTTAAAATTAACATTTTTATAATAAGGAACTTCGTTCCTATCCGGTGTCCCACGATAACACACATCTTTTTTTAATTATTTCATTTCTAAATAGGTTTGTGGAGTAAGGCTCTTAAAAACCCACGTGCGCATCTCAAATGTAACAGAATTCAACTGTGCCAGGCGGGGAGCAAGGTTAACACTTAACACGGGGAGCACTTTTCCTCATATCCAGCTGCCACGAGGTATCAGAAATACCACTACTACGAACAGACTATAGAATTAGAGAACCGATGGAGTCACATATTCACATATATTCTTTTAATTCATAAATTGACAGTTACTACGATTCTCTGAAATTTGGCAAAAAAAATTATCTCCATAAGAATTAATAAATAAATAAATATTTACTAACAATCACGCCACGTTAACTGGTCCCGTGATAAGTTCGTAAAGAACTTGTGTTACAGGTACCAGATAACAGATATAAATGTAAGATATTTATTATACACATACATATATTTAATATACATCCATAACCCTGGAAAAGACATTTATATTTATCATACAAATATCTTCCCTTGGCGGGATTCGAAACCGCGACCCCCTTGTGTAGTGACCATGTCACTTACCACTACACCAGACGGCCGTTAAGAGGAAAGCAATAATATATTTCTCAGTTTTAAGTTTTCTCACCTGTCTTCTGACGCAAATTTTATCTGATCATCTCTAGATATTTTTGCTTATGTTTAGTGAGCATCTCGGTCACGGTGACAAGTTTACGTATCGCCGGTTGGTTCTTAGCCAATCCTTGAAGCTCAGTCAAATGCGCCACACAAATATGATGGAGAGTCGCTAGCTCTTTCGCTACAAAATAAGAACATTCAATTAACATTTTTTTCTCGTTAAATTAAATTGATTTTAAAATGATAATGCATAGTTATTATTCTTTATTACGTCAATTTTAACAATTCATATGATTACAGAACTTAATACATTTGATACGCACACGTTGACAAGGCTATTCAGGGATTGCAGTTATACAATATAAATTAAATTCGACCTCATGTCTCAAGGGTAACGGTATTGACGTTGCGATATCTATGGGCTAATGTTGTAGAAAAAACATCATTATGATCTTGACTATATATAAAAATCGGCGCCAGAAATATTCATTATGTCTATGGGTTTTAGACACCGATTACTACAATAACTTGTTGAATGATATTTTTTTTTGGATTGCAGTATTTTCGCCCTACAATGCGTAAACCAATAACCCAATCCTTTGTCGAGCCCCTAACATACTCGTCAAAAACTTTACAAGCTTACCGATTTCAAAATTGACATTAGAATTGGGCGGCGAATTTCCAGGATCTGGCACGTTACTCAGTTGATCTAGGAAGACGACCATCCTCTCTTTGTTCTTTAAGATGAACGGATTCACTACTTCCATGTAAGGTTCCTGAAATAATGCATTTCTAATTAACTATTGTCTTCAAATATATATGTATGTTATGGATGGTTAGTTGTTCATTAATACTTTGTCATCTGGCGACGCGACAGTGGTGTCGTGAGCAATAGTGAGCATATCTTCGAAAGTTCATGAAAGTAAGTGAGAACAAGGTTGAGAACTTATGAGTACTAACAATGAGAATAGTAAAACTTATCAATTTATGATTTCCCGATAGTGTCAAGAACGGGCGACGACAAGCCAATTAATCTGAATTGGTGCTGGCAAAGAGTATATCAGTGAAAGTGTGAAAGTAGCTCCATTAATAAACAAATTAAAGAGCGGACGTTTACCGTGGTATGGACATGTGATGCGTAGAGAGGAGATGCATGGGACTAGGAAATGTATAGAAACGACAGTACAAGGCAGAGGGGGAAGAGGTCACCCGAAGAAGACATGGATGGAGTGTGCGAATGACGATATGAGAGAGAGAGAGAGAGGAGTGAGTATTGAAATGACGGCTGATAGAAGAGAACGGAAGAGAAAAATTAGCTATGCTGACCCTATCTAGTGGGGACAAGGGGAGAAAAAGAAAAACAAGAACGCCAAGAGAATAAATATTTACGGGACGTGCGGATAGCAAAGTGTTAAACAAATTTCTCTATACGTATAGACTGATAGCTCAACTCTCGTTTAAACCAGTGCTGAATGCCTTCAGAAACCTAGTCATCTGAGTAAACTTTGAATTAGCTGGTGGCAGTTATAACCTTGGCTCCGAACTCGACGAGGTTCGCGAGGTTCTGTAGACACTTGGCGACCATGAGCAGCGAGCGCTGAGCGTGCGGGGGCGGCGCCCGCTGCACCAGCGTCCACGCTCGCGGCTCTACAAGCGCCGGACAGATCAGCCGCAGGAATATGAATCCTGCGGAAGGGACATTAGCTCATTACACTGCACTAAACCAGATATAAACATGATTTATTATTTAGGACTAGCTGACCCGGCAGACTTTGTAGTGCCTCAATTGATAAATAGACCTAAACTTTTGTCTAAAATAAACTTAAAACAAACAAAAGGAATTCGTCCGACGACGGGGGACACATCAAAGGAAAAACAAAATTGTTATTTTTATTTAATTCCGAGCATTTTCACATTTATCTACCTTTTAAACCTTCTCTTGACTTCCACAAACAATTCAAGACCAAAATTAGCCAAATCGGTCCAGCCGTTCTCGAGTTTTAGCGTGACTAACGAACAGCAATTCATTTATATATATATATAGATTTCATAGAGGTTATATCTCACGGTGGGTGGTGGCTTTTACGTCATAGATGTTTATGGGCTCCAGTAACCACTTAACACCAGGCGGGCTGTGAGCTCGTCCACCCATCTGAGCAATAAAAAAATTAAAAAAAGGCATTTCAATGTTGATGGTATTTGTTTTTAAAATTCAACAACAGATAGCTTAATCTAACTTAATTTGTTAAAACAGTACAACGCATCGTGTTCATACAATTTCGTTACATATTCGAATTTTGATTTCATACCTGAGACGACCCTGGTGCGTACAAAGCGTTCATTGGGCCACTTGGCGACCGCGGCTCGCTGCAGACACCCGCACAGATATCTGACTGGCTTAGGGCATGCTTCCGGTGAAGTAAATATTGATAGGGTAATCTGAAATGTCATAAACTTTTTTTAAATTCAATGTGATAAAGGACAACAGTATTCAATTTATACCAACTTTATTTTCAACGTGGGTGGACGAGCTCACAGCCCACCTGGTGATAAGTGGTTACTGGAGCCCATAGACATCCACAATGTAAACCGCCACCCACCTTGAGATATAAGTTCTAAGGTCTCAAGTATAGTTATAACGGCTGCCCCATCCTTCAAACCCATGGTGATACCCATGCGCGCGGGTCACCCTGTATTTAATATAATTAACATCATTTTCGCCTTTACTTTTATTATTTTTATATTTGGGATATTTTCTTATTCTTAACTTTCACTCGTTTCACTCTTGACAGAGCGATCGTGATCGTTCTGTAGCTTTGAAGAGATAAACGATGTTTTACGATGCCCGCTGCCTCTCCTTGATCGAGGCCATTCTGCTCTCTGGAGAACTCTTTTAACGGGCCTCCCAATGTCGGTCCAAGACACACCGTACTTTTCACCCTTCTTTGCAGGACAATTAGTTCCACAACTGGTTATCGTGAGGTGTCTGAACATATAGGATGCACGATTGTTTAAAAAAAAAGTGCTGCTAGTCTTCAGTCTACCCGTGATCATGGCACTTGCAATACCACCAAAATATCGTATTGTCACGATGTGTGAAAATAGTGGTAAGAACCCATCAATTAATAGTGTGTGTATGTAATATTTGTTCTTAATTATTTTTACCTGATCGAGAATCATAAGCAAAAATTCAGCATTGTTACACGCGTCGTCGGGTGAATCCATCTTAGTGGGATTCAATTCTGCTGTCTGTTTAGAATCAATCAGCTTTTGAATGGTTTCCGAAATCGCCGCCTGAATAAAAAAATACATATTTTTAATTTCAATCACAACAGGGACATGCAGTGACATGAATTCTCTTTATTTTTTTACTGTTGATTTAACACAACTATGTATTTGTTAAATTATTATTGTGATTAGGTACCACAATCATTTATTTTTATAGATTTTCTATTAACTTTATTTGCATGACTGTGTGCTTTTATTTGATTATGTTATAAAACATAATATGTATATGGCAATGGCTAGTCATTACATAAATATTATTTAGGTGAATAAATTATTTGAACTTGAAGCATATGGAACTGCACACATAAATGTAATGGAATCTATACTTTAACACTAATCATACCAACACTTACTGATACCTTTTTCTACCATAGCGGGTAGATAATGGTACCTATACGACAAGTATTACTCAAAAAAATTAAAACAAAACAAAGAAATAACAGTAGATTAAATCGGTAAGAAAAAGCCATGAAGTCAAACGTGCAAAAGCAATAACATGATATGTGCTTTTCAAATGTAAAAGTTCAAAATGGGTCATTTGATCCGATATGGTATGTTTAGTGTTAATTTTGATGCACAATTAATTTAAAAAAACATCAATTCTCCCCATTGCTTAAACAAGGCAGCGGCTTGGGTGCCGGTAATCACTCACCATCAGGTGGGCCGTATGCTCCTTTGCCTAGAAGGGCAATAAAAAAAAAATTCTAGATAGTTGGTAGTACAAAGAGGTGACCTGTAGGAAGGGCTTGCAGTGGGCGCGCATGAACTCGTCGAGCACGGCGGTGGCGAGCGAGGCGCCGCGGAACAGCGTCTTGTGGTCGCCCTCGCGCGCCACCTCCGCGCACGTGAGCTCGCGGGCCAGCTCCGCGCCGCGCCCGCACTCCGCGAACGTGTTCAGCACCGCTGTAACGTACACACGCACGCCCGTTACACGATTATTTACACAGATAAATCAGCTACTATCTGATGACATTTGCAACAAATTCAGTGGCTATGAGCATAGCTAGTTTTTTTTTTATTGCTTAGATGGATGGACGAGCTCACAGCCCACCTGATATTAAGTAAGCCACTGGAGCCCATAGACATCCACAACGTAAATACGCCACCCACCTTGAGATATAAGTTCTAAGGACTCAATATAGTTACAACGGCTGCCTGGCTGGCTGGCAACGGCCGTTCAGACTGAAACGCATTACTGCTTTACGGCAGAAATAGGCAGGGTGGTGGTACTTACCCGTGCGGACTCACAAGAGGTCCTACCACCAGTAAAAGTTTAGCTCATGCTACTGTAATATAATACAGTATAATAATGCTGGCAAAGTTTTTTTATGAACGTTCGGATTGGGCCATCATTTCACCAATCATTCGTCTTCTATTGTGTTCATAATAAATGAATATATACACAATGGACATAAATTGCTGGAAAGTTTTTGTATTTTAAAGTGCTCATTCGCGTAATTACCAGTACAATTTGAAATTTAATTTCTTTTCTGCCTTTACGTACATTATACAATTATGCTGTAACAAAGTTGAGCGAAAAATACAGCAAAGAAAATCTATATTAAAACAAATGTATAAAACGGAGAAACAATATGGATTAATAAAACTAACATGTTGCCAAAGGTTGTCGATCGGTCCTGCAAAGATCTGCTAACGCCTTCACAGCCGGAATGCCCGGTTCCAGCAACAATTGACGAAGCGGGTTGTACTCTTCACGAGGCATAACTAATTCTTGCATATACCTGCAAATTTGGCAAAATGAAAATTAGAAGCATACACACACACACGCCAAAAATTTAATTTATAAGCATATCATAATTAAAGTATTTAAAACTGGAGCATTATTACTATTAGTAAATGTTACCTTATCCGCAATCTCAAAGATCCCCACTCCCCAATAGGAGTCATTCCTACTAAGGGATACCATTCTTCTATTTCTTCACCGTTTGCCAAATTTGCGAGTTCTATAGTCAGTTCAGCCACCTATATTCGGATAGAAAATACCATTAGAGTTGGTTAGAGATAGACCAGAATGTGGATGGAGTAATGGTAAGAGGCTAGTACCAATATTTCTAATGAAATAATTAATTCGTTATCCACTGACGTTTCACGAATGGTTTCCACGATGAAGCATATAACATTGCGTTATACAAATCAAACTTGCAAAAGGTAGAATTTGCATTTGTAATTACAATTGAGACATGGACCTGAAGTCCCAAGATGGTAGGCGGCATTCACGATGGGATATCTGTGGGTTTCGGTAATCACTTAACACGAGGTGGGCCGCAAGCTCGTTCACCCTATGATTACGCATAAAAACTGTAAACACTATCTATCGGGAAACAAATTGAAAAAAATAAAAATATTTTAAGGGAAACAAAAAAACCTACAGTGCTGTGGAAACAGATTTTTATTATTATTATAATTTTAACACTTACTTCAGACTCTTTTCCTCTTTTCCCTGTATTATGAACGGTAATTGTAAATGACGTTACATCTGGAGGCATATCACTGTAAAAGTGTTGTAACATTTAGCATCACAATTTTTTTATTTTAAATTAAAAGTAGTACAAGTTTTTTAACTCATAATGCTTAAAAAAATCAAGTATTATCAAACCGCACATACGATGCGATAACGTCACTTCTGCAAATTATGTATTTTTTCATGAGAAACGTTGGAAAATTCAACATCTTATTATATAATTCTCATATAGTTCTGATAGACTATAGAAATAAAATAATATTTAAACTACAACTTTAAACTTCATCAGTCATCTCTCGCGTCTCACTAATAACTATTAAAAACAGTATTTTCCCATACTCAGTTCAGTGTTAACAAAAATTGCATAAGTGACTTTATAGCACCGTATGTGCGAAACTAGAAATAACTTTTTGCAGATGTCCAAGAACGAAAACATCATCAGCGAGGTTTAAGAGTACTTCACAGTCAGAAGGCAGCCAGCATGCACTCTGACAGCTCTAGTATCCATAACTTCTGTCTTGTGCAGCAATAAATCATTAATAATAGTACTAACTCGAAGAAGAACTCGTCGTCCCAGTGCGGGTCGGGCGAGGGCCGCGGGCGGGTGCGGGCGACGGGCGCGGCGCCCAGCAGCACGCGCAGGTGCGGGCGCGGCGCCAGGCGGGCGGGCAGCCGGTGCGCCGTCAGGCAACGCACGCGCAGCCAACGCACCCACGACACGCGCCCCACCTGATGCAAACTTGTACCTCATATCGTCACTTCAAAACCAGACTAGATCTTTTCACGGAATTTTCAACAGATAGATAATTAATAATCTATACTAATATTATAAAGAGGAGAGATTTGTTTGTTTGTTCGTATTGAATATGCTCCGAAACTACTGAACCGATTTGATAAATTATTTTACTGTTTGAAAGCTACACTATTCCAGAGTGACATAGGCTATAATATTTTTGGAAAAAAATTAGAGATCCTTACTAAAACTATAATAATGTAACCCAAGATGTAAAAAAAGTTACCTAACATATATATATTTTTTTTATTGCTTTATGGTTGGACGAGCTCGCAGCCCACCTGGTGTTAAGTAGTTACTGGAGCCCATAGACATTTACGACCTAAATGCGCCACCCTCCTCGAGATATAAGTTCTAAGGTCTCAGTATAGTTACAACGGCTACCCCACCCTTCGAACCGAAACGCATTACTGCTTCACGGCGGAAATATTTTGATTATTATTAATATTACCTTGCACTGGTGTCGTGCTTGCTGCGGCACACACAAAGGTCTTAGAGCCTCGATCCAGGCCCTCTCCTCAGTAGCAGTATTGGCAGCCAAGAATGTATGTGTAGATAGACATGGCAGGGCACGTTCGACGAGTTGGAAACAAAACTCCTTTTCCCAAAGTGATTCGTGAACCTGTAATCAAATTTTATATTAATTTTCTGTAATAATATGTATGTTTTTAATTTTTATGAGACAATCATTACACTTATAGTTTTAAATTGTATCTATAGCGTTATAGTTTTAGTTGATACAAGAAATGTCCCATAATTCCACTGACCTTAAATAGACAGTACAAATTAATAAAAATAAGTGCAACTATTTTTTTAATACGGTTGCCTGTATCTCCAGTTGCTGTCATATTAAAAACAAACTTTAAAGTTTGTATGACGTGAAAGGGACAGGGATAAAAAATCGGCTCAATATTTTTTGGATGATGCAAACATACAGGTAATCTATACTAATATTATACTAATATTATAAAGAGGAAAGATTTGTTTGTTTGTTTGTTTGTTTCGAATAGGCTCCGAAACTACTGAACCGATTTGAAAAATTATTTTTCCATTAGAAGCCGACATTGTCCCTGATGAACAAAGGCTACTTTTTAAAAAAAAAAAAAATTAATTTTTTTGGTTTCATGTGTGTTTTAATGTTTCCGAAGCGAAGCGAGGGCGGGTCGCTAGTAATAACATAAAGGTAATTTGACGTTAACGATACAAAAACATTTTATCCTAATCTTAATGTACGAACACGAATTTATAACATATTTAAGTAGACGAAAACTTTAATCACCAACCTGGTAAAGATATGCGCATGATAGATCGATGAGTCCTTTTGGTTTGGTCCTTTTCGGCGAATCGTAAAAATACAAATGTGTGTCGGTTCCTTCCTGTAATAGCACACAGTATAAAGGCTTCCATTTTTTAGCACCCTTGTCAGATTTCTTGTTCAGATACCCATAGTGCTTGATTCCTTTCGTCTTTTTCAGACCGATCTGATCTCGACATTCGCGTAACGTTGCATATATCTTTTCAGCTGCAGCCCCTGTTGTACTTTGCTGGGGCTCGATAGTGTGACCTTCCGCAATAAGCTAAAGGAATTTCATTATCAAAATTAACATAAAATTCCAGAATTGCTACGTGACAAATTGCTCATAGAATGTACACTCACCGGCTGACCTAAAGTGTGTCCTTCAACAATTTGTTCTTTCCTATATCTATTGATCACAGCATCCAAGCACTCAAAGGTTCGACCTCCCATCAAGTACCTGACGCCCTTCTTCTCAATCCTGAACCTTTGAATCTGGTTGTTAATGTGAAAGAACAACGAATAGTCTCCTGGAGAATTATCAGATGGTCTGACGAGGAAACTTCCAGGGCCCGCCTTGACTAGCATGTCAACTGCTTCACTCTTGGTACAGTTTGGATGGAACCACGAAAATACCGTGTTTGGATCGATAGAAGGATCCAGATCTTCAACCAACTCTCTAAATATCATTCCCTGTTCACCGGTCCTAAATAAAATGATGTTAATTATAATTCAATTTGGCAATCATATTCATATTATTACTAGATATTTTGTTTACTTAATAAAAATACCATACTTCACAGTACCATAAAAATCTGATGTGGAAAACTCACAACAATAAAAGCCTGTACAAAATTTACTAGTACTTTTAAGAAAATTTCAAGAGATATGTAAGATTTTTTCTTACCTATGAGCTGTGACCCAGAGCCATCCATCACCCATGTCATTATGTACAAAAAAGATGTCGCCCTTTTGAAAAGTCAATTCATCAGTGTCGGGCATTTTTGTATAAGGTAAAATTGCAACAACCCTCTGAAAAACCATTACAAAATTATTGTTAAATGTACTAGAAAACGAACAAAACAAGCGGCAACCGTACGGGTAAATAATTTGTATCTAAAATAAATGAGGAAAATGACTGGTTCACAAGTTTCTGGGACACAGAAATACTTTTGTCTAAATTATGAACATTTTAATAAATTATTACCATCATTTAATTTTACTATTTATAAATGGAACATAATAATTTACTCAATCAGATTTGGGTATATACTGAATGTTATTTCTTCTACAATTTTTATTTGTGACTAGCGACCCGCTCTTCTTATTGATAGCTGAGTCCCGCGATGTTACCCGCGGTTATTGTCGTATCGCGGGTGACGCCGCAGGGCGAAACTAGTCTAAAAAATATCGTCGTCAGCCACCTATCAGTGAAAGTCTCGTCAAAATCGGTCCACGCGTTCCAGAGATTAGCCGGAACAAATAGACAGACAAACAAAAATTGTAAAAAATGTTATTTTGGTGTAATAGATTGGGGAAAAAGTTTTTTCGCCTTTTTTAGGAAAATTCACAACCTTTTTTATATGGTTTATTTAGATTTAACTAACGTAGGTTTTTTTTTATTGCTTAGATGGGTGGACGAGCTCACAGCCCACCTGGTGTTAAGCGGTTACTGGAGCCCATAGACATCCACAACGTAAATGCGCCACCCACCTTGAGATATAAGTTCCCCACCCTGATATATAAGTTCTAAGGTCTCAGTATGGTTACAACGGCTGCCCCGCCCTTCAAACCGAAACGCATTACTGCTTCACGGCAGAAATAGACAGGACGGTGGTACCTACCCGCGCGGACTCATAAGAGGTCCTACCACCAGTAATTACACAAATTATAATTTTGCGGGTTTGATTTTTATTACACGATGTTATTCCTTCACCGTGGAAGTCAATCGTGAACATTTGTTGAGTACGTATTTCATTAGAAAAATTGGTACACGCCTGAGATTCTAACACCGGTGCATCGCTCAGCAGGAATGCATCGGACGTCTTATCCGTTAGGCCACGACGACTTCAGTTCTTCATTAGATTCACTCATCTCTACAGTACAAAAAATTTATAAAAATCACACATTTTCCTAATTTGATTTTGGAATTATTTTCTTTAAAATTTAAACTTTTAATGATACCAAAACCAGCCAGATACAAATAGTATAGCCAAAGAGATTTTATTACAAGTTCATACATACTATAATGCGAAAAGACTTTCCCCAACCTATTATGTACCGTATATATATTCATATTTCATATGCATCTAGTAAAAAGCGGTTATTTCAATATTACAAACAGACACTCCAATTTCATTTATATGTATGGTTTTTTTTAACACAAGTGAATGAAACGTAATAAAGTTTTTCTAGGTAATAAAGCACACTGCAAACTACATTTTTGTGAGCCCATGACTTTTTAACCACAAATGCCTGGCAGACCCAATCACAATAAAAAAAAACATAAAAGTTACCTAAACAAGTAAAGACAAAAACACCTAAAATGGATATACTGAAAATTCTGCATCTTTGAGATTGGGTCACTAATAACCGAGTGATGTAAGATTTTATAAGAAATAGTAATTCCCTTTGCCCCTTTCATAGGTCATGGATTTGGTTTTGTTTATTATAACGCATGCCTAATTGTAATATTTCATAACCATTTTTATTGGATACATTAAATCAATGTCATGGAGTGATTAGTGCAGTTGCTAAATCAAGCCCCACAGAGCATGAATAGCATTAGTTTGGAAGACTAATTTAGAAAAGTAATACTGCCCCAACAATTTCAAGAGATACTAAAAATGGCTTTACTGGAAGAATGGAAGGCCCTCTTTCAAGATTTTATTCATAGCTCGATTGAGTGAATGTCAAGGTGACTGGAAGCAGTTTGAAGAGCCAAAGGAGGCAAAACAAAGTACTGATTATAACATACCTAAAACATCTTAGAGGAAACATTCTGACATGTGCTTACCTTCTTATCGTTCACTGGTTCTGGTGGTGGTACTGGCTCTACCAGTCGTTCTCTTTTCAATAAGTCAGAACAGTGACTGTAGAAGCCCACAAGTTCAGTTAAAGAATCAAACTGTCGACCTCCAATGTAGTAATCTCCACACACTGCTGTTATCCTGTGAAAAGCATTTTGTGCAACATTATTTTAATATAGCACTGTGTACAACATTTTTTGTCATTAGCAGTTAGTATTTTATTTAATGAATTGTTATGTTATGCTATGGAAATATACAGATTCGACTAAGGGCACATCCATGCACATATCTGAACTAATATTAATAAAATAATATTTTTAACCAATGAATAGACAAAAATAATATAAGCAGTACTGCTTATTTCATTTTTACTAAAAGTACTTTTGTTCTACCTTTGTTTTTATACCTATTTTATAAAGACTAGTCATACGTAAGAAACGTAAATAAAAAAATAAAATAAATACACAGAAATGTACCTGAAGTGATTAATTCCTGTGCGTCCTAAATAACTCAGAACATATGATCCTGGTTTACGATCACTCTCACGCACTGTAATCAATAATAAAAGTTAACTTTTGATCTAAACAATATTTTACAATACAATATTACAATAAGGTTGTTGTTACAATAATATAGTTTAAAATACTTTTTATTATTATTATGTATTAAACACTGCTACGCCTGGGAAGACGGCAGGACACACTCCGGCGAGGTGGGCAACAATCGGCCGGAGCGTTAGGGACTATTGGGACAGAAACCTGCGAATTATTATTATTATTATATCACTGTTTAGATAGTAATTTGTGACATAGCCAACTAGTGACACATCACTGCAGTCCTTCATGGCCATGCCTAGTTTAAGTTCAGTTTACTTGCTTGTTTACTTTTGCCTTGAGTCTAGAAGGGTTTATTAACTTCCATCATAGCAAGTAGCAATAGGAAGATGAGCTCATGAGCTATCTGAAATTAAGAAAAGCACTAGGATGCGAACTTTGTGACCGAACTTGCTACATTAAGTTGTAGTCTCAGTTACAGTTGCTACCATTCCAACTACAACACCTTTTTTTTTACTTTAGTAACTTTCTTTAACAACATAGCTTTTCTAACTAAATATGTAAAAATTTTGATTCCTGCCTGAGATTCTCAAATTTAGTATTTCACTAGGTCCACTATTAATGAGTTATATATTACTGAAAGAATTAAGACTTACCCAAGTAGCTTCCTTGTTTGCTGGCAGCCCACAGACGCTCCTCAGATGTATACCTGTCTAGACGGCCGTGGTACCATTCAGTCTCCGGCGGGGCCAGCACGGCTTGACGCTCACCTTAATCATTAATGAACCATAAGATTTCAAGAAAGGAAGAAATTGTAACAAGAAAATGTTCAGATTATTACCATTAGTGCTTGGTCCGTCTGCTTCGTCTAACTCTAATTCAGCTGCCAATTCGGCAATGTCACCACCCCCGTCTTCTGATTCAGTGGATGGAGATCCTAATTTGTCCTTTACAGGGGGTCCTATGGGCGCCCCCATAGCTCGAATTAAATCAGCCATTTTTGAGACAAACGAAAAATCACATTCAAAATCAATTTAGTAATTCAAGAATTAGCTTTACACACACAAGTGACTCATTGTTTAGAAATGGTATTTTTTTTTGTTTACCAGAAAAATAAATCTAGTAGTGCAAACTTAAAGAATACCAAAAATTAAGATATATTCAGTATTATACAGATCTTCTTTGAATTTATCCTTATCGTATTTTAGAGCTTACTATATCAAACTACACCAAAAAAGACATAATTAACATTAGTAAATGTTTTTTCGTAAATTGGTCAGATTTCAAATCAAACCATAAATTGACACAAATAAATCAACTTTCATTTTAGAGATTTATCAAGTCTTTACATTCATTCGAATCTGAAATTCATTCGGTACGGTACCGTAGATTATACCAACTCGTATGCGGTTTGAGTTCTGTGGCTTCCCTTTCTTTAAAATAAAATTATGACCTGGTAACGAAGACTTTAGGTCATGTCTTATTTTAATTTATAATATTCCTATTTTTATGAAAAATGATAATATGGAGTGAAATGAAATGAAGTGAAGATGATATATTTGAGACATTAATCAACTGGGATGAAATTACATGAAATAAGATGAGGTGATATGGCAATACAATGGAAATATATTCTCAGTAAAATGCTAGTCATTTACTGAGATTTTTTCAGTGGACTTTTTGGAGGATCCTGAGAAGTTACTTGCACCAGCTTTGTTTCATTTTCCCAAATTTGTGCACTTTCACAGATATTAAACAGTTAATAAATCACTGTTATTACACATTTAAACCTGAAGAAACACTATAAAACAAATCACACAACTTAACTCCTCGCGTTCCCAGTAAAAAGTCCTCTGTGACTGCCATAGTTAGTAAAATCACAGTGTACATTGAACTGTAATTACTGTCACTGGACTAGCTTGAACTAACTATTTATATTCCAGTGTCGGGCATCGGACATATAAATTATCATCTTACGGAATCCTTGACGATATTTACAAGTGTATCGAAGCTTTTGAATGGAGCATTAAAGCCGTCGTGGACAACTATTGTTTTTTTGGTATGAGCTTTATGCTCGGATTCCACAAGGTTCGGTGTTCACCTTTACACTTTTCTATCAGCATATCAATAACATGACATAATCTCATAGAAGATAAATCCGAAACTTTTTTAATAGTGCTGGGATCTCTTAAACAAGGCGAAGTGTTACTTCCGCGTGACTCCGCGGAGGTAAATAAATAAATAAATAAATATTTACTAACAATCACGCCACGTTAACTGGTCCCGTTATAAGTTCGTAAAGAACTTGTATTACAGGTACCAGATAACGGAAATAAATATAAGATTTTGATTATACACATACATATATTTAATATACATCCATAACCCTGGAAAAGACATTTTTATTTATCATACAAATATCTTTCCTTGGCGGGATTCGAACCCGCGACCCCCTTGTGTAGTGACCATGTCACTTACCACTACACCAGATAGACGTTAGATTTGTTGATAGATTAGATAGATAGATGATTTGTTGATGAATTTTCGGATTATCGATATTCCCCTTCGAATCCTTACTACTTCAAATTGTTATTTTCACTGATCATACAAACCGGTTTTAAAATGAACACCTCTCAAGGGTGTTTCCTGAGCTCTATGAAATCATCTTGTTCAATCAAGGTTTGAAAGGAGTATAGCATTGCCAGTGTCCATGAGCATCGATCAGTACTTACCGTCATATGGGCCATTGGCTATTGTATCTATTACGAAAAAAAACCACAAATACTTAAGATTAAAAGTGTTTGAAAAAACTCTAGCATTTTTTATGTGTTAATTCGAAAGTACTCTTGCCTAGCTTTATTCTGATGAACTGCTGCTACAATCAACGCCCTATAGGTGAACAAAATGTAATCGTTCAAAGCTCTGCCATCATTTCGTTCAGCAATTCACCATCTTCTGCTCCCCACTCCGAACGAGGAGCACTGCTGCTTGAGATACAGGTTTCATCACCTAATTCAAGCACAGATGCAAATTAAGACTGTCTTTCTACTTCAATGCTAACAATAAATAAATAAGTAATAAAAAAATGAGTATCGCCGGCAACCAGCTGTTCTTCTAGCTCTAACTTTTTTATTATTCTCATTTACAACTCCTACAAGCTGATTGAATTTTCACCGCACTTGCATATCAGCTGTACGTTTTCACCAAGCCTTTTAGTGGGCTAATCGATATATTAGAGATAAAAACTTGTTTAAGCCTTTGCATAAGTTTTACTATTACTTCTTAAGTTAAAATAAATTTATGTGTCCCAAAGTACATATTAATGTATGATAGATATTTTTCAAAATATAAAACAATCGTCAAAGCTTAAAAACTGTTTGAATACGTATAGCAACATTCCGCCATATTGCTCAGAGTGATTTCTTTCAGGCAATGACTTCCTAAAATAGTGATCGAGCATAATCCTAAAATACAAGCCTGAAGGGAATACATGGAATTTTTTATTTATTATATTATTCATTAAATTAACTCAACTCATCTCGTCTCGTCTCATCTCATTTCATTCATTTCATTTCATTTCACACCATGTTTCATATTAATCAACTTTATTTCATTTCATAATATCTTTTTTCATATAAAAAGTTTTCATTATAATTAAAATAAGACTTGACCTAAAAGTCTTAGTTACCAGGTCATAAAATTCTTTATTCTGCTTTCATGAGTCAAGTTGAATTTCATTCATTCGTGGAAGAGCTACCTAGTTGCACGACGTGTCCTACAATTTGTGATAATTTTAATAATTTTTGTGAATTCCAAAAAGGTAGGAAATATTTCAATTTTTCAAAAATATTACAACTCTACTGCATGAAATAATTATTGTCAACAAGAAAAGTTTGAAAATCAAGTTTGTCATTTGTACACACAAAAAAATCTGAAACAATGACGATGTAATTCATGATCGTCGCCATTTTGTGATGACTAAAAGTCTTTGTTCTTTTGTTTTGTTCGTCAATCCATTTAATACTCCGAAATAGGGAATTCATCCGTCAATCTTCATTAAAGTTCCTTCTTTGTTCTAGAAACCACCATGCAGATTTTTGTAAAAACTCTCACTGGTAAAACCATAACATTAGAAGTCGAAGCATCCGACACCATAGAAAATGTAAAAGCAAAAATTCAAGACAAAGAGGGCATTCCTCCAGATCAGCAGCGACTGATTTTCGCTGGGAAACAACTTGAAGACGGACGGACATTATCCGATTATAATATTCAAAAAGAATCTACTCTCCATTTGGTATTACGTCTGAGAGGTGGAATGCAGATCTTTGTGAAAACACTTACCGGTAAAACCATCACACTAGAAGTTGAAGCATCTGACACCATTGAGAATGTGAAAGCCAAGATTCAGGACAAAGAGGGAATTCCTCCGGATCAGCAGCGGTTGATCTTTGCGGGCAAACAGCTTGAAGATGGCCGTACACTATCCGACTACAACATTCAGAAAGAATCTACTCTGCACTTGGTTTTGAGACTGCGTGGTGGCATGCAGATCTTTGTGAAAACACTTACCGGTAAAACCATTACACTAGAAGTTGAAGCATCTGACACCATTGAGAATGTGAAAGCCAAGATTCAGGACAAAGAGGGAATTCCCCCAGATCAGCAGCGATTGATCTTTGCGGGCAAACAGCTTGAAGATGGCCGTACACTATCCGACTACAACATCCAGAAAGAATCTACTCTGCACTTGGTTTTGAGACTGCGTGGTGGCATGCAGATCTTTGTGAAAACACTTACCGGTAAAACCATCACACTAGAAGTTGAAGCATCTGACACCATCGAAAATGTGAAAGCCAAGATTCAGGACAAAGAGGGAATTCCTCCGGATCAGCAGCGATTGATCTTTGCGGGCAAACAGCTTGAAGATGGCCGTACACTATCCGACTACAACATCCAGAAAGAATCTACTCTGCACTTGGTTTTGAGACTGCGTGGTGGTATGCAGATCTTTGTGAAAACACTTACCGGTAAAACCATCACACTAGAAGTTGAAGCATCTGACACCATCGAAAATGTGAAAGCCAAGATTCAGGACAAAGAGGGCATTCCCCCAGATCAGCAGCGATTGATCTTTGCGGGCAAACAGCTTGAAGATGGCCGTACACTATCTGACTACAACATCCAGAAAGAATCTACTCTGCACTTGGTTTTGAGACTGCGTGGTGGCATGCAGATCTTTGTGAAAACACTTACCGGTAAAACCATCACACTAGAAGTTGAAGCATCTGACACCATTGAGAATGTGAAAGCCAAGATTCAGGACAAAGAGGGAATTCCCCCAGATCAGCAGCGATTGATCTTTGCGGGCAAACAGCTTGAAGATGGCCGTACATTATCTGACTACAACATCCAGAAAGAATCTACTCTGCATTTGGTGTTACGTCTCAGAGGTGGCATGCAAATCTTTGTGAAAACACTTACCGGTAAAACCATCACACTAGAAGTTGAAGCATCTGACACCATTGAGAATGTGAAAGCCAAGATTCAGGATAAAGAGGGAATTCCCCCAGATCAGCAGCGATTGATCTTTGCGGGCAAACAGCTTGAAGATGGCCGTACATTATCCGACTACAACATCCAGAAAGAATCTACTCTGCACTTGGTTTTGAGACTGCGTGGTGGCATGCAGATCTTTGTGAAAACACTTACCGGTAAAACCATCACACTAGAAGTTGAAGCATCTGACACCATCGAAAATGTGAAAGCCAAGATTCAGGACAAAGAGGGAATTCCCCCAGATCAGCAGCGATTGATTTTTGCTGGCAAACAGCTTGAAGATGGTCGTACATTATCTGACTACAACATCCAGAAAGAATCTACTCTGCATTTGGTGTTACGTCTCAGAGGTGGAATGCAGATTTTTGTGAAAACACTTACCGGTAAAACTATCACATTGGAAGTTGAAGCATCTGACACCATCGAAAATGTGAAAGCCAAAATTCAGGACAAAGAGGGAATTCCCCCAGATCAGCAGCGATTGATCTTTGCGGGCAAACAGCTTGAAGATGGTCGTACACTATCTGACTACAACATCCAGAAAGAATCTACTCTGCATTTGGTGTTACGTCTCAGAGGTGGAATGCAGATTTTTGTGAAAACACTTACCGGTAAAACCATCACATTGGAAGTTGAAGCATCTGACACCATCGAAAATGTGAAAGCCAAGATTCAGGACAAAGAAGGAATTCCCCCAGATCAGCAGCGATTGATTTTTGCTGGCAAACAGCTTGAAGATGGTCGTACATTATCTGACTACAACATCCAGAAAGAATCTACTCTGCATTTGGTGTTACGTCTCAGAGGTGGAATGCAGATTTTTGTGAAAACACTTACCGGTAAAACCATCACATTGGAAGTTGAAGCATCTGACACCATCGAAAACACGTAGATCTAAAGCCATTTATTTGTAATTCAGAGAAAAAATTAGAATACCTGAAATGTTTTGCATATTTTTGTTTTCGAAGTGTCAGTCTAAACTACTAATTCGAAACTACAATTTTTAATAGCTGCATATCTACATGCCACCACGGAGTCTCAAAACCAAATGTAAAGTAGATTCTTTCTGGATGTTGTAGTCAGATAGTGTACGGCCATCTTCAAGCTGTTTGCCCGCAAAGATCAATCGCTGCTGATCCGGAGGAATTCCCTCTTTGTCCTGAATCTTGGCTTTCACATTTTCGATGGTGTCAGATGCTTCAACTTCCAATGTGATGGTTTTACCGGTAAGTGTTTTCACAAAGATCTGCATGCCACCTCTGAGACGTAACACCAAATGCAGAGTAGATTCTTTCTGGATGTTGTAGTCAGATAGTGTACGACCATCTTCAAGCTGTTTGCCTGCAAAGATCAATCGCTGCTGATCTGGGGGAATTCCCTCTTTATCCTGAATCTTGGCTTTCACATTCTCAATAGTGTCAGATGCTTCAACTTCTAGTGTGATGGTTTTACCGGTAAGTGTTTTGACAAAGATCTGCATGCCACCTCTGAGACGTAACACTAAATGCAGAGATAGATTCTTTCTGGATGTTGTAGTCGGATAGTGTACGGCCATTTCAAGCTGTTTGCCCGCAAAGATCAATCGCTGCTGATCCGGAGGAATTCCCTCTTTGTCCTGAATCTTGGCTTTCACATTTTCGATGGTGTCAGATGCTTCAACTTCCAATGTGATGGTTTTACCGGTAAGTGTTTTGACAAAGATCTGCATGCCACCTCTGAGACGTAACACCAAATGCAGAGTAGATTCTTTCTGGATGTTGTAGTCAGATAGTGTACGACCATCTTCAAGCTGTTTGCCTGCAAAGATCAATCGCTGCTGATCTGGGGGAATTCCCTCTTTATCCTGAATCTTGGCTTTCACATTCTCAATAGTGTCAGATGCTTCAACTTCTAGTGTGATGGTTTTACCGGTAAGTTTTTGACAAAGATCTGCATGCCACCTCTGAGACGTAACACTAAATGCAGAGTAGATTCTTTCTGGATGTTGTAGTCGGATAGTGTACGGCCATCTTCAAGCTGTTTGCCCGCAAAGATCAATCGCTGCTGATCCGGAGGAATTCCCTCTTTGTCCTGAATCTTGGCTTTCACATTTTCGATGGTGTCAGATGCTTCAATTTCCAATGTGATGGTTTTACCGGTAAGTGTTTTCACAAAGATCTGCATGCCACCTCTAGACGTAATACCAAATGCAGAGTAGATTCTTTCTGGATGTTGTAGTCAGATAGTGTACGGCCGTCTTCAAGCTGTTTCCCCGCAAAGATCAATCGCTGCTGATCCGGAGGAATTCCCTCTTTGTCCTGAATTTTGGCTTTCACAT